GGCAGTCGGTGCGCCAGACCTCAGCCCACCGCGCCCTGGTAACACTGTCGGTCATAATTAGCAACTTTCTTAAAACTGAAAGCTACCCTTTTTTAAGCATAAAATTTAAAGAAGGCGTAATATTCTACCAAACAAGTACAAGAAATGATATTTTTGTGCCCGTTTTCCATAAAATACATTTGAATTTATAAAAGCAGTCAAAATAAATGATAAAAAGGCATGCTACTTAAGTAGCAAGATTTTACAAAAGATACGCTTTGCTAGTGGTCAGAACGAAGGTCGTTAAAAAGCCCGCATCCTATCATGACTGAAATGACTTCAGAATAGACAGCACGATAATCAGTATCACAACCTGAATCAATGCCATTTAGCGAAAGAGTAGCAATCTTTCGCATTTGTCGACATGTTGCGTGATCTTCGGCGACTACTGTATTATAGCGAGAGTAGACTTGCGAAGCTTCTACCACACTCTCTCCTGCCTCGCCACCTGGGCCCGGTGTCATGGCCCAATCAAGACGACTGGAGGTGGAATAAGGCACGGATAACTGACGCAACTGGAGCCGCACCCAGGCATGCCGCTCGAAAGAGGAGAAAGGGCAAAGGTGTGGGAGTGGAAACAACGGAACTGTTGGAAGTGGGTCACCAGAAGGATTCTACCTATCGACCTCTCGGGTCCGTCTGGCGAGAGTTATTTTAAAGCTGTTTAAACTTTCATACTATACTCCAACCAAAAATGTTCTTCTTACCACGAGGAATATAGTAGAGACCAAATTCCTGACGCAAACTTACTCAACGTCTGAACGCCGCTGCGGTTCGAGGAGAAGATGTACAGAAGGCGGTGGATCACCTCGACTTCGTCGCCATGCAGCCAGCTTGGTTAATAAATAAATAAAATTGCACATAAAGAGGGGAGGCCTGCAACCAAAAACATACTGCATTTGTTTTTGTGCTTCTAGAATGGAGCTGAGCAAGTGGTCATTGCACCAAACCTCCGAAATGCTGTCATCCACCCGGACAATGGTTTCCACGGCACTGATTGTGTTTACTAGGAGGCCAGCTGTTAAACAGGAAGAGAGTCTGAATATTGTCAAAACGGTAAAACCTACCATTTGTAGAACTGCAGAGGATGAAAGTGACCCTGTCAAAAAATTCTGGAGTAAAGTGGATGGCATCAAGCCAGGCCTGTCTATTTGAGTGGGACGCAAGAGCGGCTTGTAGGAGCCTGCAGGGAGAGGAGACAGGTGAGAGCAAGTTAAAAGAAACCGACAAAGACTCACCTGAAGAGCTCCAGTAAAATTCGTGCATCGGTCGAAGCCATGAGGTTCAGAGTGTTTATGCTAAACATGGAATGATTTTATGCACGATCGCTACTTACATGAAAGCAGGTTCTTCGGTCATTTGAGCGCACTCGCTTTCATCTAGAGCCATGTTAGCCAGGATGCCCAAAGAAATTTCCTATAGGGAGGGGGAGAGGAAGTGAGAGAGGTCAGAAGGACACACTAACCGTTAGGCGCGGACAGAGCACACGGGCCACGGCGCCAGAGAAGACAGGAACGAGACGAAACTCTCGAAGATGCGGCAGAACTTCTCTGTTCACAGTAATGTCCCAGAGGCAACATAATTCTTCCTCCAGCTCGCTGTCAATCGTGTCGGATACAGTGATATCGGGATCTCCAGGCTCCGCTTGAAGAAACTTGAGGACCCTCAAAATGAGCGAATACAGCCACATTTTACTGTATGCTGTCTCGCCAATGTTGTCTGAGACGGGAGGCGGTGAGGTCTCACTTTCATCACGAGGAGGGGATGGATTTCTCGTCGCCATCAGGTTCAGTTACCGTCGAGTATGCCTTAAAAGCGAAATTACTTTCGTTACTTATGCTGTCAATGCCTTAGAAGAAATCCAAATTTGCTAATAAGGGATTCCTTTTACCCTATAGCAAGTTTTTTCTGACTTCATTACTCACTCGTTCATCCGAATTCGTAAGACATATCAGCTAGTATGGACTGCTGCATTATTACTGTTGTCACTTTATATATGATGTAAGCTGATGTGAAGTCACCCCTTAGATTAAATGCCCCATCATTGAATTGAGACGGAAAAACAACTCAAAACGGTACTATCCAACAAAACACCACCAAGAATAAATGCTAAGACCACAGTTTCAGTGAACATAACGAATATAACCGGATGAAATTACGACGAGGAACACGACGGTCAAATCTAGATGAGGATGATGAAAACGTTGCTCTTCCACGCACGACTAACTCCAAAAACGAACGCACTGGATCTAACCTAAACATTCACAGAAACTTAGGACGCAGCAGGCTGCATCTCTTCGAATGCATTCACCAATGCGAGAGGATACGGCTATGATGAGCGCCGAAGTGATATCATAGAAATTCAACAGCTCGTCCAATGATATTAGCCTATTTTACGTGCTACTGCGATGAAATCAGTCTAAACCCCTTTCGTGGTGTTAAACATGAAAAATCCCAATATATAAACATCTTTTCGGAGAAAAAGTCATTTAAACAGATGAAAATCGACTCGTGGTGACTGACTAACGGTTCAGCGAAAGAAACGTTAATGTGAATGTATTACCGCGGTAGAAACAGCACAAGTTAGCTTGTATCCCCGATTGGCAATACGGGCAAAAACGGTTTAAAACGCAGATAAAGGCAAACATGACAGCGCAGCGGTTGATTTAAGAGAGTAACCTGTCACCTGGCTCACAGTCGTGCGTCACCCCTATAATACTAATGCTACGTCCACACTAACTTTGGTCCACTTGTGGCCAGAGTACTGGATCAACTCTACCGTTACCAAGCCCCACCAATCCACGCATTTCATACATTGTAGAGGTAATGATAGAGAACCACTCAGCGAAGAGCTTCCCGATCGAACAACATAGTAAGGATTACGGCCGCACTACCACGACCACAGCCGCCGCAAAAATCACCGACAACGATGAACCCCTAACTGCCGTTATTATACAGGGAAGACTGTGTGCAAAGGGATGGCGAGCGTGATTAATGCAGACAGAAGCATGCCGACATAAAAGGCTGACATAATCCTGTCATAATTATGCTGAGATCATGCTGGCATTTACCATGCTTGTGCTGGCATAATTCCGTCATGGCCATACACAAAGACTGACATAATACCAGCCAGTCAGTGTGTGCGGCAGTCATATGATCGTGTTATTCGGTTACTGTGTAACGAAGATCTTCGTTAATATACTCGAGTATATTAAAGAGACAAGGCTCTTTGTTAAAAAGTAACTAAATAACACAATCATATGACAGCCGCACATACTATTTTCCAAAGGTGTAGCACGAAAATGTTTTTGCCAAAAAAGAGACCTCTTAAGTGTAATAAAAGCCACTAGACAGACGACCAAGCTCTAAGGCATGTAAATCGCGCATGAACACCAACGTTTTCCAGCGCAACCTAAATTCAACGCAATAAAGATAACACGACTAATTATAACAAAATGAATTTATTGTTAGCGCACTGACTAACGAGGAAATTTTACACTTCCAAATGCCAGTTAAATTACAACAATAAAGTTGAGCGTCGCATCGTTGGGCAGAATTCTGATTTGTCGAGGTCGGAGGCATTTATATTATGAGGAAATAAGAAGTACGGTGAATGTGCTAATCCTGAACCCAGTCGGCAAACCCTGCCTTTATTCCTGTAAAATGCGTCGTTTTTTATTTCCTGCTCGATAAGATAGGCGTTTTAATAAGAAAATCAACTCTGTTCGGTCACAAGTTCCTCGCACGCATTTGATCCTTTCGAGGGAATTAAGATTTTTCGCGTTCCAGGGTTTCCAGGCCTGAATAATGAACTTCAGTTTCGGCTGAAAAAAGATTTCAAGGCCTTTAGTGAAGGAGTCCTTATCAAACGCATAGAATCTTTCTTTGATAAGGCACAGGACAGACATCGCAGACTTGGCTACTGGTGCACATTGAAGCAATGTCGTGATCCTCAATCCCACGTAATTTTGCGCGTCAACCTATTATGCGGGATGCCATTCTTGCGATTAACCATAGGATTTTGAGGACTGGGTCGGCTAACTTGTAGAATACTATATTTTTGTCATTTAGCCGCCGTCGGCCGCTCTTCACCCATATGGACTGCTTAAGTGTGCCCAGAGCGACAAGCGCTTTGAAACCATTTCAGGAGATTTTTTCGTACACCTTATTGTCTGAGCTTGTATAGAAGACGTTGATGCTGGACACTATCTAATGCTTTCCTGAAGTTAATATAGACTACATGAATCAAACCTACTGTCCGGGTCCAACGTTCCAAACAATAGAGCAAGTTCGGCCAACAGAACCTGCCTCTGCGGAATCCATGCTGCGCATCTGATAATAGGTAAGGCTGCTCTAAGAAGCACACCAAATCTCGCTTAACTGATTCTTCCATACTTTTTCAAATGGTCGAAGTGAGACTGATAGGTCTGTAATTATTTGCGTTCGCCGTCTTTATAAATCGCTGTGAGCAGTGCAGATGTCCAATGGACGAGTAAATATCCAGATTCAAACGAAATATGGAAAAACAAAGAAAGCGGTTTAATTAGTTTCTCATCAAGCTCTTTCCATAATTTGTCCGGGATATTGTCGGGATCAAGGGATTTAGAGTCATCTAGCGCCAACAACTTTTGACGCACTGTCGATTCGGCGAAAGATATATTATCAATCTTTGGATCGTCATCTAAGTCACAGTAAGGAGGGATGAATTCATTTGCAATTGTAAAGATCGATTTGAAAAGTTGTGAGAGATGCTCAGCTTTTCCTCTATCCTCACTTTGAGGATAAAGTTTTAAGCAGACCTGAATCAAATTCTACTGATTAAAGGGAAATTAATTTTGAATGCGCTTTCCATTAAAACATGCATGTTTGATTTTATAAAGGCATCAGGGAATCTCCTAAACTGGATTGAAGAGTTCCTGAGAGAGCGTAGTCAAGACGTTTCTGCAGGTGGCTTCAGTTTAAAGTGGGCACCTGTCAAAAATGGAGTTCCACAAGGCTCATTGCTTGGGGCGTTCCTTTTCATCATCTACGCAAATGACATAGTGCGAGAAGTTTAGTCTGCCATTGTACTCTGTGCAGATGATCTCAAAATATGATGGGTGATAAACGATGAAAGGGACTTCCAAATAATGCAAGAGGATGTACATCAGCTGCACACTTCGAGCAAGTGTTGATGTACAAACTTAAATCCCAAAAATGTGCAGTTATGCACATGATATCAACAAGAGGCCACAGAAATGCACTCTCACAAAAAAATGCTCAAAGTTTGCAGCGAGAGCAATACCGGTTATGAGGGCCATGCTAAGAATGTTTGTTAACTTGCCTGTAGATATCTTCGGATAACTAGAACATTTGTGCGGCGGAATCTGGGATATGTGGTACAGGCTTGGCGGCCTGCATCCCCATCAGGTCAAGGGTATGCGAACAACCGTAATACAGGCCAATGTTCACCAGGTTAAAAAACAAATGGTATTAGACTCTAGGCTGGGACTTTCGGTACGTCCGGATTACGTATTAAAAGTACGAGCACGATTAAGGTCCGAATTAAAACTAAACTTCTAGTCGGGTCTAATATTATTACCCCAGAATTTGTACTCTTTCCGCTATTCAGGGCAGTGACACCTGTATTAAAAAGTTGGGGGCAAATAACCAAATCCGACCCTGTAGAGAGGAAATGCTTTATTTTGAAGGGAATACCCAAAACCTTTCAGCAAAATGGCTCCATTCACAGAGAGCAAGGGATAAGGTTAGGTACGGGATCACGGTAAAAGGTCATAGAATGCACAAAATTAAAGGTTTACACAATATTTACATCTATTATGGAGACAAATCGGCTCTCAATTCCTTAATTTCCGCTTCTTCACACGTAAGGTAGCGGGCATGGAATGAGAGTACAAAGGGCTGATATGCCGATGCACGGCAAAACATATAACAGAAATCTCGGCGCATTGTACGGACGAATCCGCAGCTATTACTTCAGAGTGGTGAGGGTGAGCGACTTCACCAAGAATGCGATCAGAAAATTGCTTGATCGATTTAAAGTGTCGCTGTTTTATAATTTCAGCTAAAAATAGCAAAGGAACCACCGTAAACTGAAAAGAGCATTCGGAGGATACGTTTAAAAATTACCAAGCCTTCTTAAGTAAAGCTCGAATGAGGGCCTGCGGTATGCGATGTAACCGCAAACGACGGATATAATATTAAAGTTAACGGACTTTAATAAAAAGAAGGCCTTCAAAAAGAAAAGTTAATGAAAGGTCAGATGACAGTGACACCAAGTTGCCGGAAAAAAGATACCTCGTTGTCAGTATGTCAATGGTTTCAGGACTGGGAGAGGGTCACAGTCGAAAATCACTTAAAAATGACTTCAGGTCGTTAAGTAAAAGGCAATTTGCTGACGACCTTGCTGAGACGTGGTCCAGGCTCTCCTTTAGTACTTGAAGATTTATCAAAATAAGAAAATATAAAAAATTACATTTTATGACCGGGGGTCTCGTCATTGCAAACTAAGTGCTGTATAGCACTAAGTAGCAACAGAGGCTACCGTTTATCACTGTAACACCACCCGACTGGCTACAAGATCAATCATCAGGGAGGTGTGACAGACGGTGATCGTGGACAACAGGGTCGAAATGATTAGGGAACTGTAGAGGTCATGAGATCGTAAACGAAATGCCAGAGCTGTGACCTTGTGCACTACAGATTCCAGCGACAAGCTGGCGAAAACAGCAGAACAGCCACAAGCATCACCAGAGACCATGAAACCTATCTTCAGGTTTTTAA